ATGCAGTGCACTTGTACCTCCCCACCAGCTCCACTCCCTCCTCCACTCCGCACCACACAGACCTGTTTTCTCGCTCCGGTGTTTTGACAGAAAACTAAACGCCGTCGGACCGTGTGACTTTCTTTCTTTAAATTTGTGAAACCACCAGCAGGAGCAACAGCACCAGCACCAGCACCAGCAGCACCAGGAGCACCAGGACTCTCTCCCCGGGTCACACTTCACCACCAGTCGTTCAGGTCGTCGCGAGGCACCGGCGCATGTAAGTAAACCCACATCTATCAAATTTTAACAAGCTTTGTTTTTTTGTTTTTTTTTTCCTTTCCAAGCACGTGCGGGTTGCTTCCACACAGGTGATGTTCAGGACAGGTTGCTTATGGCTGCGGAACTTTAGGATACATGTGTTTGTTACCTTTGTTACCTCGTGGATGCGCCGAGTTAACTGGCTCGCTCGGCTTTGAATAAACAATGGCATTAACCTAATATGGTGGGAAAACAGGGGGATATTAATATCTTTTTATTGAGGCAACCACAAGAGAAACCCAGTAAACAAACACTGGGACAGACAGTAGACTGAGGACAGGGGAGCTTTATAAGGTGCATGGCTTCCTTTGGTTCTTTGTCTCACACCGCATTGTCAAGACTTCAATTGGCTGTGCAGTTACTGTACATTGTAATGTGCTGTAGCATTATTGTCTACTTCACCTGGTCTCCCCACCTTCACACACACACACACACACACACACAGATGTGTTAACGCACACTAACTTATACTTCCTAATGCTACTTCATCGCCAATTAACCATTTTCATCCAAGTTCAAATCCCCTTTCAGGAGATTAGGAGGTAAGTTTGTGCTCACCCTGCTTTCATTTTGCTCGTGGCTATTGACAGATTTTCTATTCCTTTTTTTTTTTTTTTTCCCCTCAGAAGCTTGAAAGGTGAACGGTGTGAACAGTGTTGGAATGCAACAGGATTATCATCTGACCTTAACTCAGAGGAGACAAAGCAACCAGACCTCTAGATCACACATTTTCTGATCCTTGCTGCACTACAATGCCTTTGAGGTTATAATGTCTTCGCTGAAGCACGTTATTCTACAGGATAAAGACCAGGATGTTGAGAAGCAGCTGGACTGGAGTTACATTGAGTGGGTTGAAAATGAAGTTGTCACCACAGGTGTGTCAGATGCACAGACACAAACTGACTGTGGGACTTTTGAGCACAAGGAGAGTCAGACCAGCAACCCGGTCATAATGCACATAGATCTCACACGGACACACTCCAAGCTGAGACATTCCTCCCTGGTGGACACCGACGGCTTGGTAGCGCCTTTCTTCCAGTTTGACCGACAGGCCCCCGGACGCATCTCCACGTCTCCCACCTTGAGGAGGATGAGGAGCACCCGGCGTCCTCTGACGGATAGCTGGGATCCTGTCAAAATGGGGAGCACTCAGGAGGAGCCTTCCCCAACCTCCCCCGTAAGCCCCCTGTCCCCGGGACACAGAGTCAAGTCTCCCCTTGCAGCAAACCCGCTCTCTGATGGAGAGAGCTGTCAGGATCATCAGCCCATTTCATCATCCGGCCGACAGAGAACCAAATCACACAGATCAAAGACTTTTGACAACGGCATCGCGTCCAAGAGAAAAGAATGTCACAGTGCTCATCCTCTTCATACTGAAAATTTTGGATTTCCTGATAGTGAAGTACAGGTGAGCAGTTTTTTTTTGTAAAATATCAATTGAAGCATGTCTGCTTGTAAACTCATTCTGCAAAACCTCTTCCCACCGATCGCCACCAGTCATGTGCTGTGGTCTGGTGGAGATTTTTATTTTTTTTTAATCTATAAATTAAATGGTTACACATTCCTTCCTTTGCGGAGACCTTCTCTCCCTCATTCTGCCTTGCCTCCTGTGGTGGACACTCACAATGCGAGCTTTTGACAGCAAATGAATCAGCAGTTACATGCACTGACAGCTCTGTCCAAGCCCACTGCCTGGAGAGCCCTGGGAAGTGCTCTCCTTGGGCCCCTATTCACCGCAGTCAGCAGTCACCCAATAATGGAGGGGTCAGTGAGCGATGGAAAAAGATAATGGGGAGATCTATTCATCAGCTCGTGGCATTCAACCGAGCACATTCTCAATAGAGTCCCGACATTCTCCTCAGATATCAGAGGCATTTGAATACAAGTGGCCACTTAAAACACTGACTCAAATTTGAATGTGTTTGAAAGTGATATAGGAGGGGTCGTTATCAGTTTTTGCACCCTCTGTTTAATGCTGAGTGTACAGTAAGACGGTACTTAAATGGCATGTAAATAGTATGATAATTACATCTGATTTGAACTTCTTTTGATCTATCCTGTAACTCACTTTCACAGAGGTTAATCATCTCATTTACTGTATGTTTCCAGAAAGCAGTGATGTATTGGTGTATAGAGTAGTTACAATTTAAAGTTTTCCCTTGACTGATCCAGTATTTTCCTGTTTTTTTTTTTTTGTGTAGGAGAAAGAGCTTTGCCATAATAGGTGAGTGTACCTTGGACTGCTTTGCATGTTGCCTGTGTGTCCTGTCAGCATAGCCAAAAAAACCACCTGGACTTGACGTATGTTTGAACATGTTTGCATATCAGGGATTTAGTCAAACTTTCCCTGCGACTGATAAAAACTGGACCACTGATCTCACATTTGTTTGTTCTTCTGTCACTATGTTTCATCTCTGATTTCCATACTTTTCACAATATCCGTGTCAGATCATTTCATTAGCACAAAAATTTGAGCTATGACATGTGACTGCCATGAACTCCTGTGCACGCAGGACACTCGTGAGCGATGCTGATTGGACATTTAAGGCTTTAAGGAGCCCCATTGTGCATTCATTGTCACTCATGTCTTTGTTAATGGAGCATGAGCTTGGTGAGTTAAGTTTTGAGAGTCCCATGGTTATATATGGGCTAGACAAACCCTCATTAAGGCTGTTTTCTCTTACTGCCACCCACACCCTTCCTAATGGGCTGCTGGGCTCTTCCCCTCACTGGATAATTAGGCAGCTATTGTCCCCGTAATTACACCCTGGCACTGTGCCTCTTACAGTGGCCGGTCCCTGCGAGCTATTGGTTGGGACAGTTTTGTTTTGGTGCATCATTATTTCTCTTGTTGTGCGGGAACAAAACACCCATTTTTACAAGTGCTCTCGGTGGCAGAGAGGCTGACACAGAGAAAGCTTTCTGAGCGGCCACAAAGCAACAGGATGTCATTGTGAGGATGCCGTGGAATGAACTGCAAGGAGGCACTGACCGGGTTTAGAGCAGTAATGGTGCCTTTCTTACTGTCCCATTAGCCACGTAACCTCTACGGCGCTCAGGTGCTGCTGACTATAATGTGTTCTACTGTTACTGTTCAGTTGTAGACTAACCTATGCGTTCAGCTCGGCCCTGCAGCCATGTGGCCTACATGTGCATTCAAGTTAGTCTCGTTTGCTGCTGCTTGTGCAACGGTGCAGGCTCAGCAGCAGAAATGGAGCTACTGTTTGAGGGGATATTATGAGCTGTAAGAGGAAGAAAGCCTGTGAAAGATCATTCAGTCTTACAAAGCAGATTTTACATATAATAGTAGACCAAATCAAACAAGTACCAACATTGTTCCTCTTACTTGTACTTCTGCTCCAGTTTTATTGTGCTGTTATCATAAACAGACATGTTTGCCCTCATCTGTATGCCAGGCTTCCTTATGGTCTGATCATGTCCTGATAACCTTTTATCAGACAGAAAATGTGTTGTTTGAGCCTGGTGTAATGAGGATTTCTAATTATTTCTCCTTTTATCTGATCCTTCATCTGTTTACCTCTGAAAACCCTGACCCTGAAATATTTAGAAGTGAACCCGCAGCATATTGACGTGAGTTACTGATCAGCTGTCAATCAGTGTTGGCGTGCTGAAAGTGAAACTCACCTTTGGTAAAACCAGCCTGTCTGGTTGCAGTGCTGCTTATTTCTGCTGGCTGCAACCGTATTGAACGCCTTGAAGCATCTTGTTGGTATTGGCACATTTTGGATGGTGACTGTTGGAGTCACCTATCAAGTTGGACTATTTTTTACAATCTTTTTATTCTTGTAACAATTGAAAACAAATGCGGCCATGCCCTTTTGTGATATTTATTATGCAGATTTGATATCACAATCACCCCCATTACCAAACAATGTCCATTTTTTTACTTTTAGCAATAATCCCTGAAGTACAACAGCAGAGGATAAGTCAAAACACTTGAGAACAGTGGCTGTTTGAGCTTTGCCTGAGGCAAAAAGGCAGGCCTGTGTTTTTCCAGCCTCAGCCATGCCTTAGTTACTAACTATGAAAAGGAGACCAAGAGGATTATAACTGGCTCACACTGACAGCTCGCCTCCTTCCACACAAATAGGGTGATCCATTAATCAGCGGCTATCCACGCATAAGCCAGACACAAAACACTTATCCTTTATAATTTCTGCTACTCATGTTAATCGCCAATTTGCTGCACAATGCAGATGGTATTTCACTGGTATTTCAACCATGTAAAATTACAAAAGGAATTCTTTTATTTCCTGTGGCTTGCACTAAGTCTATTCTCTTTGTGCTGCACTACATTTGTAGTAAAATAATACTGTTTCTGTGTAACAGTGAATCTCAGATGTCCACTGAGGCTCGTTTGAAAATGTCAAGCATTGCTTCCAGGTTGAATCTTTTAGTGTGTTTGGCAGCCAACAAAAGTGGAATACCGTCTGAAGACGTTCACCTGTTCACTGTTCACCGTTCCCCTCAGGCTTCAGGAAAGGAGACGGAGCTCCGTGGTGGTCAGCTTGCCTGGATTGGACGTTTCACCAGGAGACCTTTTTGTATCCAATGGAGCGGCTGACATGTTAAATGGTTCAAACTTCTCTGGTAAAATCCTGTACTTATATATTATATAAAAGTTTAAGTGCTGGTGGTGCTGACCTCTGTTTTGATGATGCTTCCAGTAAACCGATTAGTGTGTCTGGACTATCAGTCGCAATATAAATAGCCCTGGTCCGGAAGAGCAAATGAGTTATCATGCTTGGTTGAAACGCGTCCTTGCGTCCAAGCAATAGGTGAGCATCAAAGCTGTTTCCCACTCTCCATAATGAGGGAAGTTCATTTAGCCAATTAAATATTAGTTATGATGCTTTAATAAACTATTCGCAGCATGGGTGATGGATTCAGAATGGTTAGTAACATGGTTTAACTGAACAAAATTAGGTAGTAAATGTTTGTTTTTTCACTTTTCAGAGACTGTGCGACACATCCATAGTTGAAGCTAATTAGATACTCTTAAGAGTGTCTGTGATGCAAAACCACAAATTAGGTCCAAAAAATTAAATGCAGCACTTTAAACTTTCATACTTGCACAAAATAACTGAACCTTTTGCACTCCCGCCACAGTTTTTATCCTAACACACTGTTTTGTTTGTTTGATTCTAATCCCATCTGCACACATTCCTGCTTGCTCTTTTGTAGATAATCAGTATTATTTGGGATTCTTACAGATACTAAGAAGTCAAAATGGCCTTTTTCGAGGCGTAGTACGGTAGGTTCGTCATTTGTCTGTTAGTTGTTGTTGTTGTTGTTG